AAATAACCTCGCCACTGGGAATGGTCTCTGTTCAGTTCAATCAGCTCCTTCCATAGGGGCTGCTCTTTGATATGCGTACAGAGCTGAATTGCTCTTTTACTAGATTATCTCTATTTCCCTTGCTTTCAGTTTGTGTGCAGCTCTGTTAATGATTCTGGGCTGCTTTTTCCCCCTAAATTTGAGTTCCTTATTTTAATATTTACTCCCATTCAAATGTACAAAGGTGTAAACTTTGTTTGGACATGGACTAAATTGCCTAGTAGTTAGAGCTGACCATAGGTGGTAATTTATTAAATTAATTGAGTTGCTGCTTTTATTCATGTGTTGGGCATAAACAACTGTGGCAGGCATGCCAGTAGCAGCCTGGCTTGCTGGCTCAAGAGGGCTTCGCACCATTGGAGGGACTTTCCCACTGATCAGGAGGTGATGGAGGAGAGGCTGCCCTGTCCCTCCCTGGGGTGAGATGAAGAGCCTGGACCTGGGTAAGGACCCTACTGCCCTCATCCTGATTGGTCCTTTTTGCAATCGGGGGCAGAGCCTCTGGAGGCTATAAAAGAACAGTGTGCCTGGCACATGGACACACAACTGTGAGGGATGGAGAAGAGGGAAGATGGGCTAAAGAAGAGCTGGGGAGAGCTGCCCAAAAGGGGGAATACAGTGGTCCCAGAAGAGCCCAAATACCGTTTCTTTTCGGATGGAGAGTGGTGAGCAGCTGCGTGCCAGCCCCGCCACTGAGGAGCAAGGGGTGGTGCACAGCCCAGTGCATGGGGTGGGGCCTTGGGAGCCACATGAGGTGGCTTGGGTCTCCAGCCCTGGCATGCAGCCAGGGTGGAGCGGTGCAGGCGGTGATGCACAGAGCAGTCCAGGAGTGGACTACAGTGGACACATGGCACATCCATGTGGCACTGGGACTAGAGTCATATGAGGTGGCTTGGGTCTCCCGCCCCTGGCACAAGGCCAGGGAGACTCAGCGCAGGCAGTGCTGCACGGTGGATCCAGGAGTGAACCCAGGCCCTGGGAGCTGCGTGGGGTGGCTCAGGTGTACAGACCCCGGCATGAGGCCAGGCATTTAAAGTGAAAGCCTTGCACAGAGGGCCCCAGTTGGAAACGAGACCCTGGAACCCTGCAAGGCAGCTCGGGGCACCAACCCAGGGAAGACAAGTAAAGTTCTCATTGCACACCACAGTGCACAGGGATACTAGTGGCTGGCGGGCCCAGAGGAAGCCAGAGACAGTTGGAGCTATAGCAAGAAAGGAGGCAACTCTCCAGAAGAGAGAAAAGGACCCTTCAGCACCACCCTGGAGTCATGAGTTACCGAGCCTACTGTGAGTTGATGGAGTTTAAAGTTATGTCATTTATATTGAAATATTAGTTTAATTTTGTGGGGCTGAGTATTCATTTAAAATGGAGATATAGAAGTGTATGTTAGTATATAAGTATTCAATGTTTATATGAATTTAGATTTAAATGGAGTTCAATATTGTATGCTATATTCTAAATGTATAATATAATATGAGTGTGTGACTTTTAGTGAGGCCTGGCTGGGATCCTCCACTGTAGTATTTATCTTTGATTCACCTGTTGTCCCTAGTGATGTGTGTGTATATAGAGAGAATAGGGTAATAGTCTTATAGAACATATAAATGTGTATATATGTGTGTGTTTATATGCATATTTATCTGTTAATGTTTTGCGAATATTAATAAACTTGTATATAGTTAAGATATATAGTGTCCTGGTTTGGCTCTGTATAAGGGAAGGAGGGAAGCTGTGTGCAGCCAGCAGTTTTCCCTCCACTGTGCACCTGCTCTGCCAACATCTCCCTTCAATTGGAGAATGGGGTACACATGCAGGTACACCCGGGTTACACAACTTATAGTTTCCTCAACTGTAGTCTTTTGAATACATTATTTTCAGGGTTTGAATTACACTTTGATTCTTGGGGAGGGTCAGAGGTAGTAGTGGTGGAAGCAGCAGAGAAGCTGCTCGGGCACGGGCTCCAGGCGGCTGCAGCAAAAAGCACCCAGCAGTAACGAGGGGGAGGGGCCACTTCTCTCCTACGCTAAACAGCAGTTTCTGCCCGGCTGCTGGAGGGTGGGGAGGTGGGGGGGGGAGGGCTCTTATCTCTTATGGAGGGGGCTCAGCCTCCACGAGCTCTGCTGTAATTTGAAACCTGATTATTTTAATGTATAATATTCGTCTATGGACTGTTTGTATAAGCAGCTCTTTCTGCGGTTGTTTGATATGTGACATGTGAGCCACATTAGTTTTTTGTTGTTGTTGTTGTTTTTTTTTTT